ATTGTAGCAGTGGTTGTAGCAATGGTTGTAGTAGTGGCTGAAGCAGTGATTGATGTAGCGTCACGCTGAACTAGTGGAGAATTTGTTATGGCAGAGGAAAGCAAGTACGACGATGGAGTTGATGTTGATGTCATTGTTGTAGGTACAATGGTGGTGGTGATGCCATCATTAGACATGTTGTTTTGACGATGATGTATCTTATGGTAGAAGTAGAGTTGCGGCGGTTGTTTAAAACGGCGGCGACAAAGAGAAGTAGAATTGTGATGATGAGTTCACGATGGTGAAGCTTATGATTGAGGAAGACGGCAGCGGCGGCGGCAATAAAAAAAATTTAGTAGAAAATTAGGTTTAAGGATCTTATTGCCTCTGATACCATGAAATAATTAACAAAAACTTGATTTTATTCATTAACAATAAGTGGTATTTATAAAAAACTAGGTTTCCTTAATCGATAGATTTAAATCTAAAGGGTCTATGCTTTACATATATTTGCTTGGCTAATAGTATACTCAAAACTTATAAAATACATCTAAATTCAATAATAAACTGATACTTCCATTGAGTTGAGTTTCGACACCAAGTTTACATTTTTTAATTCTTCAAATCTCGTGGTGTTAAGTAGTTTCGTAGCAAATCATCAACCTGAACTTCTCCTTGGCAATACTTGATCACTTAAATAATGCCATTTCATCCTGCCTCATGAAAAAAGTCATACTTGATGTGGACATTTACCAATTGTGATCGCTAACATCTTGTTCCATTAAGATAGGAACACCAATTCGAGTTCAAGCCAATTTCCACATAAAAGAAGTTTTTGTAACCAACATAGTTTGATTTACAGTTGCGATATCAGGATATCGTGGTAGATTTAAGTCATTCTTTTGTTGCTTACTTGATTGCCAACAATACACACCATATCCAAAAGTAAAAATGTACGTAAAGCTGCTCTTTATTTTCTACAAGTGAGCCAAAATTTTCAAATCACAACGAGTATCCTTAATCTACATCCACCCTTAAATTGAAAAAACATAAGGTAAAACTAATCATTGTTGGGATTAGGAGAACGGACCAAGCAAATAGAAATAATATATCAAATTTTACTTTTAGTTTATTTGGGAACGATAACTCCTAGTTCAAGTTCATTAAAAAGTCAAGTAAATTCGAGATTATTTGGTAAATTGTCTCACGAAACGAGAATAAGCCAAAATCAAAGCCCATAAATCCTCTCCTCTTGTAACAACCTCTTCCATCCCTCTAGAAATCTCTTCCGCCTTAATTTTATTTCCAATTAATCGGGTTGAGAAGATAGAAAGTAAACTATACATTGATTAGGAAAATTATATTTAACACATCAATCGGATTCGGAAACTGAGCTACCTGATAGGTTAAAACACAAAACCGGGAAGAGAAAAAAACGAAAAACCAGTCAAAGAAAGAAGTCACGGAGAACTCAAGAGAGAACTGGATCAGTCCGGTTAGCCAAAATCTGGTCATCTATGATTGAACCGTGTTTCCCGACAGCTGGAATACTAAGTGAACGTTTCCGCATCTTGGCCTTATCTGGGGCGGCTACTACTATTCTGTTCCTGTACTCACACGTGAGTTCATGAGATTCAGTCAATGGCTGATTCGCTGTCTTGAGGAAAATGTCGAGGTTTTGGATGTATTTGTCATCTTTGTTGGGCCTTGTAGCCTCCTTGTGTTTGTTTTCAGACACCATGGAGATTGTGTCTCGAGACTCTTCTTCTTCATTGTCTGTCCAGTAACTCTTGTCTTCCATTGCCAGATCATCGTACTCTTCATCTGACTTTGTCGATTCCTCATCCACCGACCCAACCTGGTTTAAGATTGCATGTGAGAGTCTTACAGTAACGCCAAGCTACACTAAAAACAAGAGAATGAAATGGCATTATCATCCTCCCAACGAATCAAGATTTGGTTACCTCATCACGATTGCGCTCATCATTGTTATCACTGAGATCTTCATCAGAATCTGGCTCAGGAAAATCATAATCGACTTCTTCATCTTCATCGCTCCCATTTACAGACTGGTCCTCCTTAAGCTGTACGGAAAATACGAAAATGATTAAACAACCATCATAAATGTGGCTAAGTTATGTTTTTATGCATTGACTAAGGACTTACCTCTTTTGAAGGCCCATCAGGCATCCGTGGCGAACTACAGCAAGAAGAGTAATACCTGCTTCCGGTTTCAGTAAAATCAGCTCTTGACTCATCCACACTTCCAGCGTGGCTAGTTGCTCCATCACTAGGCCAGGCGCTGATCCCCAAGAGACCAAACGGAAGATTCACTGGTTCAGCTTTCTGTAAGTATCCAAAAAATGGATGCTCTGTTCCACCATCCATCTCAGAACCAAAGCCGGGCTCCCCAATATAATCAACGGAACCAACAGGCCAAGTTTTTGCTACAGAGCCGTCAGTATTCAGAAGAGCCATTAAACGCCTAGATGAGCCTTTTCTTTGGATCAGCTGAAACATTCCCTTGGAACTTAATGAATTGGCTGCACATTGGTTCCTATGCTCATCATCGACAACAGCAACGGTATTAGTAGTGGAATCATAGAGCTTCTCTCCCGTTTCGCGTCTGCGCAGGCAACTGAAGACTGTCGCGTGGATTGTAGCCACACTCTTGTCGACATTTGTGTTGTTTATCTTAGGAACGAGATGTTTGTCAGCTCGTCTGCACAAATAATCCTGTATTGTTCTGATGTTACGTATGTATTTTACATACTTATTCTTTTCTGGGTCTAATGTCATGTACTTTGCTCGGACTGCAAACCGTTCCAAGTGTTTCTCCTCGTTGGCAATGTATATCATGAAGGGAACAATCGAAGGGTGCTTTTTCATCAGTCCCATCTGCAGAAGAGGAAAAAACAAAAAAAAGTTAGATTGAAAAGATCTAAACACCTCAACTAAAAATTTGTAATGAGACACATATAAGACTTACCACAAAGTTAAGGCTTAAGTGGACTCCTTCAACGACTACCGACTCTTTCTTGTCTTCCCATGTAGTAATGAGCCTATCCAGACTGTCAATCACCATCTCGCTTTGTGCCCTGTACCCTTCTATAGCCATCTGCTTAGGACTTAATAACTCAGTGGTGCTTGAGATTGATCCATCATCCGTCGTTTGGGTATTACAGTTTACACCTCGAGAGCCTTTCAATTTTTTGGCTCTTCTTTTGGCTTTTGACTCAGCAACTGCCACAGGGTCAAGGTACTCTCCAGCATGGTACGTTGAAGCCCACAGCAAAGGATTCTGCTTCTCATCAGCAAAACTCCTCATCATGTGCCTTATAGAGTCAGTTGATACCACAGTCGTAATCCCCAGCCTGCTACCCTGTAACACAAATATACAAATCAGAACACACTGAAATCAGATACGCTTCATGAATTGACTCACTCTGAGAAAAAAGTGAATTAGTTAGTACATAGTCTAGGAAAGGAGTATACAAAAACAAAAGCAGAGTGTTTTTGTTGTTAATCTAAAGCATATAAAGTGAGGGAATGAATATTCACCAGTAATGCAGACAATGTGGATTTACCACACCCACTGGTGCCACAAAGCAGAACAGTTACAGATTCTTTCCTTTCTCGGATTCTGCAAGCGATAATAAGAGGTGTAGACAATGTG